AGGCCGGGCGCAGGCCATTGGCTGGTAGCGGGAAGCGGGAGGCGGGGCGCGCGTCCGACGCTGGACGCGCCTCCTGCGTGAGGTCCGGGCCCCTACGTGCCGGGAGCCAGGCAAAAGGCAGAGGGCGGGGCGCCGTGGTCCGTCTAACCCGCAACCAGGCAGCGGGTACTCGCTGTCCGAGGAATCCTAGGGCCTGAGTCCTGCCCCCCGGAAGTCGTCTCCGCTGCTTAACGTGGTGAATGAACTTGGTCTAAAGTCAGATGGTCTCCTGTTGGGCTAAGAAATTGGGACTAACACTTGTGCGTCCGGGCTCCTCTTGATGCCTGGCCAATATTTTGGGATATCGCTAATTTTTTTGAGCAGATGGTAGGATAGGCCAAACTGGGCAGCTGCCCAGGTGGCGTTTGGAGAAGGCGGTCTGCCAGGCCTGGGGGCTGTGGACGGTGGCACGTTCAGCCATCAGCCAGAAGACAGGGGTTTCTGGCCCACAGGGCCAGCGGGCACCTGAGTTGTGTGTAAGGTAATTGTAACCCTCTAGAGGCAGCTTCTCACCCCTCCAGTGGGAAGTAGGGATAGATGTAGCCCAAGTACTCGCTGCTGATTAGTGACTCCTACACCGCCCTGCGTGCAACAAAGCGTTGATGATCAGGAGGGCCCACAGTAAGAGACACAGGGAAATCAAATGCGCACCTAGGCTCCTCAGCTGATGGCTTGATCAGCAGTTCTGACTACCACCAATGTATTAGGATTACAAGTGCATTTTTTCTCATTTCCTGCTTTCCTCTCAAAAAGTTGAGAACTGGCTCTGCCACTTTTTTGCTGTGTGATTCTGGGCAAACAGATTATTTAAATCCTTTGAGCCTCGCTTTTACCTTTATACTTGGGGATACCAATAGTACCAACCTCCCTAGACTAAGCTTCTTGCAGGGATCATATCTGTCTTGCTTACTGAGTTTAAGGTGCATGTAGTATTTCATCTGTCACAGAAGGGGCTAAAAATAGCTATTGTGAATTGGGCTGCTGTAAGACTTTTGTGAAATAATTCCTGTAAAATGCTTAGCACAATGCCTTGCAAAGAGTAAGTGCTCCATAGATTTAGTTACCATTATTATGTGCCAGGCACTGTCCTAGGAGTTGTGAATAGAAAGTGAATCAGACTGAAGGAAATTAAAAAAGAATGATAAATAAAATCTGTAGTGTCAGGAACAAATATGACTTGTCATAAGATTGGAACCAATAAAGTGTTATGAAGCTTAGAGGAGAAAGAGATTATGCTTAGTTAGGGGAATCAAAGAAGGTTTTGTAGAGAAGGAATTATTTCTTCTAGACCTAGAAAGATGGCCTAGGAATTAATGAGAAAGGAGGTAGTTAAGATACCTGTTAACTACTTTTGTAACGTGTGTGGTTAGGGGTGAGAGAATTTGGTCTTCTTTTATTTCTTACGGACTTCAAGATCCTGGCTCCATGACTTTTAGCCATGTCTGTAATGGTGAACAGGTTACTTAACTGTTATATACCTCAGTTTTGTCATCTATAAAATGGGAATGATAGTAAATTCCTCATAGGATTGTTGTGAAGATCAAATAAGTTAATACATGTAGACTGCTTTGAATAGGATTTGGCACAAATAAGTGCTCAGTGAGTATTAGCTAATATTATTGACTTAATCAGACTGCAGGCTGGTCTCCCAATATGTTCTCAGCTGATTCTGCAGCCACATATGAACTCATTTGGCTCTTCCCCAGGATTCTGTTACTACCTACTTTCCCCATTTTGGTTCAGTTGAAACATTACTTTCTTTTTGTCAAGTCAGCTCTTTGAATCTTCAGTTATTCCTGAGTTGCAGCCTCTGTTTCCATAGATTAAAAAATATATATATTGTAGTACTTATTTCAGTCTGATTTCAATTATATGTAGTTGTAGTTCATTCTCTCCCAACAGCTTATGAACTCCATGAAGGCAGTAACTACCTTATTTGTCCCTAGATATCCAAGGCCTGTTAATTAGTGGATATTTAACCTTTAAAAGATGGCATTTAAAAGACAGCATCATACAAACTCCATATATTTTCCAGGATCAACTGTACAAATAATGGTTTCTTTCCTTTTGCCTGTAAAAAAGAACATATATGCTTAGGTTTCTGAGTATTTAACCTTTAAAAGACAGCATTTAAATTCCGTCAGCATTTAAATTCGGCCAGCTGGACCCACTCCTTGCTGGGAACTAAAGTTCCCTTTAGTTGAATAGGCTCTGATTTAATTTTTAATTTAAATAGGCCCCTATTAGGCCAGATAAGAGCTGGCTATAAAAAAAATCTACCTACATGCACTTAAAGAATGTAATAAATATTCATTTATAACTAATGTTCCCAGAATTAAACATTTAGAAATATATGGGAAAGAAGATGCTTAGAATGAAACTGAAGCCTAAAGACTGACACTAAATCTTTGCATTTAATTATATATTTATAAATATATTTACATATACATACATATTTTTATAATTTCAAGATTTGTGCGGTAAACCACAGATTGAGAGAAAATTTTTTCTCTTTTTAAAAATTGAATGGAAATGAAATTGATGGAACATGACCTACCGTCAAGGGCCCTTGTGGGTCAAACACAGGAGAAAGCCACCAGTGAGACTTGGAAATGGAGCAGAAAGTAGAGGAAGGGCACACACTCAGGAATGTGCCTGGTCATCAACAGAGAGAGCAACTGTTGTTATAAGTCCTTCAGGATTTCTCTCTTCATGAGGGTAAATTCATTACAGAGAACACATAGGAGTTATTTGTCTAGGTTATATGTTCTGGGGAATAGATGAATTGGAGGTAGTCTTTATTCCTAAAATCTGAGGAAAGATTGGTGCTGTATATTTGGAGGACATTTTAAGGAGAAAAAACAAGTCTAGTGAAGAGCAATGTAAATTCTTTTTTCTCCATGTGAAGGGAGCAAAAAAGGGTTAAAAACTTAGGATGCAAAAGTGGGTATCATGCCTGAGTTAGACAATGATTTATACTGTGCATACCAGAGAATGTGTAAATCATTTCATTTGACAGGTGGTATTTTTGTTTCTTCAGAAGACTTAGGAGCTTTAGGATTATTACAGCTTTGTAAAGTAGTATTATAGTATGAGTCATTAGATCATTCATTTTGCCTGATTACATCAACTCATTGGGTTATTGGGGAATGAAAGAAACTCATTATCAAAATTGCCATCTTGATTATAAGATTAAAGAAAATGAATCAAACTTATGAGAATTAGCTTTCACAAACTTTTAAAATTGACTGGAAGTTAAAAAATTGGTTGCAGAGCAGGAATGATTAGAAAAAAGTTTTGTCATTTTAAAAACTCAGAGATCAAAGGAATAGTAATTTTGGAAGATATAAAAAGTTAGAATCCATGTAGGATTTTTAAAGAACTATTTACTGAGATAGAATTTGCATATAAAATCCGCCTGTTTTAGGAGACAATTTAATACATTCTAGTAAATTTACAGAATTGTGCAAACATCACCACAGTGCAGTTTTGGAATATTTTCAAAATCAATTGACTGTGAATATAAGGATTAATTTTTAGACTTTTAATTCTGTTTCATTGATCTATATGTTTGTCCTTATGCTAGCCCACACAGTCTTGATTATTATAGCTTTTTAGTAAGTTTGGAAATTGGGAAGTATAAGTCTACCATCTATATCCTTTTTTTTTTTTTATAAGTCCTCACCTGAGGATATTTTTTTCATTGCTTTTCAGAGGGTGAAAGGGAAGGAGAGAGAGAGAAACATTGATGTGAGAGAGACACACTGATTGGTTGCCTCTGGAATGGGCCGGACTGGCCCTGGGGATCCCGCCTGCAACCCAGGTATATGCCCTTGACAGGAATCAAACCCAGGACCCTTCAGTCTGCAGGCCGATGCTCTAACTACTGAGCAGCTAGGGTACCATCTATATTCTTTTTTTTTTTTTTCAAATATATCTTTATTGATTTCAGAGAGAGGAAA